TCCTTCTTGGAGAATGTATATTGTTGAAAAGCCTGAGTTAGTCAGACGAAACGTCTGATTTCCTTAGGAGGAGTAATTTACTTCTTTTATGTGTTAACTTCATGAAAGTACAGTTATAGTCTGAAACAAGAACAGAGTAAATATGGACACGGCGTTTGAGGTTTTGATACTAATGTATATGTTCAGATAATTTAGGACTATTATTTCAAGATATATGTCACGCCTGGCAAACTGTCGCTCCACTTCAAAATTGTGGTGTACGGTAAACGAGCGAACGGCATTTCCGAGATAGAGCGGAAGGCCGATTTAAACGGATAATTGCAAGTGTTGTTTATGTTTTTGTCTTATTATTCGTTTAAGTTGTATTTTTTCGAAAACAAAATTATATTAAGCCCGGGAGACGTTTTCTCCCTGACGAAGTGAACGACGATTTGTAGAATATTGAACTTCCCAACCATTAAAATGCCATACTCTTCGGATTTCTTTAAAAAATGTATTAGGAAAATATCAACCCGTAATAAGAACTTGTCCTTCTTGCAAAATAAACTACTCATGGTGGATTTCTTGAATTTGTATATCGATTTTTCAAAAGTAGTGGAGCCAAAGGGCAAGAGATGGAGCGAAAGGTCGGTTGTTGAGCGCAAGGCGACATTAAGTTGGTGTAAAAAGCAGAGTCTACAAATTTCTATAAATAAATTCTTTTAAAGTTAAAATAGACGTACTAATATGTGAAGCCGGAAAAATATGATAAGATATTAATTTATTTCTACTATAACTAGGTATTTCAATTATTAATAATTAATAATCTTGGACCGTACACCGATTAAGCACTGCCTTTTTTATTACGTTCGTTTTGTTTATAAATACTCTGAATAAACGAACACAATTTTACACTCATTTTTTTTCTTTCATTAACCAAGATTTGTACTGACAATATGCAGTGTTTGATTATAAAAGTGAACATTTCTATTTACACTTTGAGAGGAAAATTGTAAACTAAACAACAATGCTAAATAAGAAAGAAAGTATCTTGAAACATAACTGAAAAACTTATATAACCCCCCTTCCCCGGGTCTCGTATCCCCTTCCCCTATGCCCCTTTACTTTGTGAGCCTGTTAAGCAGTCATTTATCTTTCTTCTTTGTTTTCCTTGTCGGTTTTGATGATTTCTTTTTATGTTTCATTTTATAAGTGATTGACATGCCCGTGCTCCGCATTGCGCTCTGTCCAGTTTTTGTTTGAGGGTCTCCTGGGTTCCTTGCCACCGGTTAAAGTCTTTTTGCTGGGTCGCGTGGGGGTTGCGTTCATTGAACGCCGCCTTTCCTTGTTGATCTTGTTTATCATATTTCATATCTTTACGACTGACACTTTGTCAACCATTTTCATAGAGATTCCCCACCTTACAAAATTCTTTCTATTTCATAAAAACGTGGCTTATTTGTGTTTGATCTGAACATGTACGTTAGAGCTATTAATTAGAGAAAGTTGTAGTAAAATGAACTCGGTAGTAGTGATCCATTTTATGTGCCCCGTTTATTGCATAATTTTGTCTCTGTTCTGCACCTTAAATATCTAACATTTTGAAAAACATAACATTTGGCGGGAACAATCGCGTTACATGTACCTGCTCGGAAACATTTGTTCGCGATAGAACTGAAAATATTCGATTTTGTCAAATTTGCACGGACACACGTTTTTAAATGTACATTAAGCTACAGTCTCACTTACATCCCGGCAGAGCCCCGGTAGACGTCCGGGGTGATCCGGGCACGACCGAGGAAGCACCGGCATGAACCGTAGCTTCACCTGGGCTCTGCCTGGATGATCCGGAGCGCATCCTGGGTGGTTAGTTGGGAACTACCGTAGTGCTGCCGGGGTAAGTGTGACCGTTACAATAATTTCAACCCGGATCGTCCCGGATCATGCCGGGAGTAAGTGAGACCGCAGCTTAACTGTGTCAAAATCATGATTGACCTCGAATAAGTGGCACCCTGTTTTACGCCATATGATTCAATGATCGGGCGTCATCCAGATTTGGAACATAAATTATGGAATATTTACGGCAACCATAAGTGACACCTTTGCGATTTCATTTATTACGCTAAAGTCGTTGAAAGGATGTTGTCTTTAAAAGGTATATATCAACACTTGATCATGTCTATTTTAACTTCTATAGCTTTTATATATAAAAATTCATAGACTACGCTCCTCCTAATATGCTAAATTAATATCGCCTTGCGCTCAACATCGAACCGTTCGCTCCATCTCTTGCCCTTTCTACTACTTTCGAAAAATATAGATTTACAAATTTAAGAAATCCTTCAGGAGTAATTTATGTTGCACGAAGGACAAGTTCTTATTACGGGTTGATATTTTCCTAATACATTTTTTAAAGAAATCCGAAGGGTATGGCATTTTAATGGTTGGGAAGTTCAATATTCTACAAATCGTCGTTCACTTCGTCAGGGAGAAAACGTCTCCCGGGCTTAATATAATTTTGTTTTTGTAACAGCTTAGATCATTGAAAGCCTAAAACAATCCTACACGGAACTACATTTTCAAAAATACAACTTAGATTTTTATACTTCACAACAGCAGGTGTCAAGTGCTGTGTGGCAGCTGTAGAAAGTTACCCCTTACTTCACTTCAGTGTTGTTATATTGTTCTGGTCCTTCGGGATCACTGATGCCAGCACTATTAAGTGTTGAGAATTGAGTACCGCTCAAGCCGGTGCTAGGGGGCGTGAGAGATGTTGCACTTATTCATTATCCCTCATGTACAGACTCAATCAAACCGAGTCTGCAATTCTCTTGTAATTTTTGTTGTGATTAATGCTTCCGAGGGAATACTTTGTTTCCAGATTTTTAAATGAATAACAAGACAAAAACATAAACAACACTTGCAATTATCCGTTTAAATCGGCTTTCCGCTCTATCTCGGAAATGCCGTTCGCTCGTTTTACCGTACACCTCAATTTTGAAGTGGAGCGACAGTTTGCCGGGCGTGTATGTATGAAAGTGAAGAATAATAATATGGTAGGTGGGAGAGTCAATAAGCTTAGTGTGTTTGAGATATAATGGTTCGGTACAATATCGTTATTTATATCGCTGAGCAAAGGGCACTTCTCAAATTTCTATTAATATAGAGTAATACACGTTTCATGATAAAATAAAAAAGTAATGTTTAGTTTAGAGTTTGACAAACGCCAATGCCAATTAGTATCTGTTAAGAATTTTCAGATTGTCCACTCCCTATATAGTTTCCTTACTGGTCCGTTGTTCAATACACATAAAAATGAAGCATTTCATTAATCAATTACAAATAACATTTACTGAGATCATTCATTTCTATGAGAGGTCAAAACAAATGGTAGTATACAATTTAGATATAGTGTACGTAACAAGCAATCTAATAACCTTTATTATTTATAATTCTTGTATTTCTTAACTTTCTGAGATGAGAGATGTCTACCAATATGAAAACTGTTAGAACGGCTTAGGTTGTGGTAGCAAGTATAGATTATTGTGAAAATGTTTGGTTAATACAGAAGATGTTTTAAATCGATTGTATAGGAAACATATAGACACACTTTCGAATTCATTCGTTCCTTGAATCAACAAGTACTGGGCAACAGTTCGCCCCTGGCACGCGGATAGCGATCCATAGATAACTAACCCGATGCAACAACCACTCAGCCTTGCCGCTACTGTAACATGTTTAAAATTGAGCTGTAAATCCAATCATACGTCACATAGTTGATGTTGAAATATAATTCTGTAAAAAAATCACAAATTTTGTTATTCATTTAAATAATATGTAATATTTATGTGTTTCCTATAATCATCGACGTATTGCATATCTGGCGAAATATCTGTTCATTTATGATAATAATCCTTCTATCTGCGTACAAATATAACTTTAGCCTGAATTCTATTTTGGTAATTATTCTGAGAAATTGCACTCTATTAGACTCGGAAACGCATAATCTTATCAGTAGATTGATTTGTGAAAGTCAAACATATGACAACAGTAGTAATTGTGTATTTTACTATTTTCACATTGTAATTTCTACTTTTTACTGGTCCCTTTCTGCCAAATTATAGCTAGTCAGCTTCTACTCATGGAGGAACTTAATGTCTAATGAGTTTCATAATCCTCTGCGCCAACATAACTTAACATTATAGTTATATCATTAACTTAAGGTCACTTGCATGTTCATGTGCATTCTTGATAAGAGTCTGCGCTATTAAAAAAAATAACAAAAAAAACAAAAAAGCACCAAAAACAACAACAACAACTTATTAAAACCGTATCAATAAAAACTATTTTTAACTTTTTAACTTTATTAAACAATAGAGAAATTATCAACACTATAAATATGTTTGGTCAAGTGTTTTGAAATAATATATTGATTTTGATTTTATTAAACACTGTATTTCAGAAACAAAACTATTTAGTTTTTTGTGCAGTATACAAATGATGAAATATAACAAAGTTTTGAATTTATTGATCCTTGACAAAACCATTTATTTTACCTTCTAGACAGAACAGAGAATAATGACATTGATTGTAACAGTTAATAATGTCTGGCGGGTATACGGTTTTCAATAGAGTTAGTTCCTGCTAACTTTGAACAACCCTGTCGAGGTCAATGATTCAAACATCCCTCTAATCTAGATCAAAATTCTCCAAGGACCTGTTGTTTAATGGGTGATTATTGCAAACAAAGCTTAACGTTGAATCAATAGCTAAATATGATTTTTTTTGCTAAATCTACCATTAATAGATTAATCATTTGTTAAATGAAAGCAAAGCGTTTGTTGATAAGTAATTCACTGGCGTAATATTTCATCCAAGTGACAACACAGTCAATCAGTTAAGGTCAAACAGTTATTATGTAAATTGTAGAATAACGTTTATTTCTGAGAAAATATCAGTATGATAGAAAATTAGAAGCGTTCATTTTATAAAATGATAAGTAATTTGTTCAAATGAAAGAAATGGATAACTTGACAAATATTTCAATTACTTCGAGCGAATTGAAAGACGGGTATGGGTATGATTTACCGGTGTACGGTCTGGATAATGGACTATTTTATTATCTGCATGTTCCAGCATTGCTTTGTATCCTTTGTAGCTTTACTTGTGCATGCACTGTAATCATCTTGTCATTCCGACATAAGGATTACAGAAAATTCTTTTTCTGGACAAAGAGTGAACGGTTTGCCGTATATTTGGCGATTTGTGACGGCGGGTTCAACACATTTCATAGCATGGATCACATGCAGTATGTAATAACAAAAGATCACGTCAGACCTATTGAACTCTGCCAGTTTTATGGCTTTATGCTGGCAGAATTTGTTGCTGCTCAGATTTTGATGGTGAATGTTATCGCTATAAATGCGTTTATTCTGATGGTTTTTAAGAAGAAAATAAATTTTGGGAAATATGACTGGAGACTTTTGGTTTGGACTTTCGGACTTCCCTTTGTAGGTTCCACTGCAGTTGCTGTAACAGGGCAACTCGGACCAAACAGAATATCGTGAGTATATGTTTTTTTTTTACTTTGAAGTATGTTCACATCTTATTTATTTATCTACCGGAAGCTAGAGTTTAACATACAAATTAGCATTATCATAATTACAGTACTAGTAGTTCATTTTGTCAATAGATTTAATATTTTACAGTTAAATATTATGCACACGTATCTAATATGGACGAATGTTATTCAAACAGTACTCAAAACATCGATAAGACCATGTTAATGGATTATAAAAAAGGAATTTAGATCTTTGGTAAAGGACTACGACGATAAGGCTTCTGAAAGCAGTAACGTATAGTGCAATAACATAATTATTAAAAAATACTAAAGAATGAATCCTATTTTGTGTTCTATATTTAAGTACTGTAAAGAAAGAAAAAAATATGCTTTAAATTAATGTTAAATAATCATAAATGAATGTGACATTATAATTACTTGTATAGAACATAGCACATATATCTTACACTGTTTCATTATGTTTTCAGTTGTTACTTTGATGGTGTGAAAGCTGAAATTGCAAGCATTGCATTCACCACGGTACCACTTCTACTTGTGCTTGTAGTCAATATTGTTCTCTATGGAATCACATTGCACCGAATAAAGATTGAAACTATATCCCTTCAACTAGGATTACAGAGAAGGCATGCCTGTGACAAATCAAAACGTGCTGCGACACACATGTCTATGTTCGTGTGTGCCTTCTTTATTCAATGGGGACCGTTGGCTTTAACATTAGCCTGGACTCTTATAAGTAACGAAAGACCGTTTGTATTTTATCATATTGTTACAGTGTTTTCTAACATTGGCGGATGTTTCAATTTGTGCATTTATCTCATCATTAGGCACACAAATAATCAGAATAGACATAAGTCTAACGAACACTCACAAATGGACTCAAATGAAATAAATGCAATTACCCATGCTGCAGCTTTACACCCTAATCCTAGGAAAACGTCAATTTGTTGAAGTATAATTTCTTAACTCAACCATCAAAATACGTCATTTTTCTCTTTTTTTTACGAAAAAAAAATAAAAACGCACGCCTTGTTTGGTTTTTAAATTTCATTTACAAAATTGTTATATTATCAATATTTTCTATAATAAATATTTAAATCCAATTTTTCTTTTGCAAACACTTTTCTCAAAATTATTGTGGTTTTTTAGCATAATTTTCAGATATCCCGAACAAAAATATTACTTTCCAAAAATTTAAAACTAATCTCTTTTTTGTTCAAAATATTCTATAATTGTACACTGTCTGGAAAACAGAAATTTCGTTTTTTTGCAGCAGGAAAAGGGCCGTTTGCGAAAAATGATATGTGCCCCTTTTTTTAAAAAAACATTTTCCCCAAGTGGTTTGGTTTAATAATTTTTTAATATTTTAGATAAAATTTTTTATATAACTTTAATCGAGATATTCTTTTGCTTTGCAAGCTCATTCATTAGTTAAGACCAGAAAATCTTCGATATGATCATATAAAATCAAATTTCTAGTAAAGAAATTAATATGATGTAATTTTCACACTTCAGGGTTGACATAGCTATGAATATAGCATGTGAGAAAACGGTTTGTATACTGAACATATCTGCTTAATGTTGTTATTTTAGACATTGAATGAAACAATTCAAAATAAAAAGTTGCGTGTCTTCATCACCAAAATGCAAACTTAGCAGCAATTTTTAGCAAATGTTTCCATTTCCATGTCTAATAGTAAGACATAGTCAAAACACTGAATCCGAGATATGCAAGTTTTTCAGGAGGGATCTCTATTAGAAACATTAATGTAGCATGCCAAGTGATTGCTAAATAAAAAAGGAAAATACTGAGTTCATAAAGGATGGCAAAATGGAAGATGTTGCACCCTTGGTTTATTGAGCCTGTTCGTGGACGGTATGGTAAATGCAAACTACCGTCAAAGCGCCTAATACCCCTTATAGAACATCAGCAGATGTGTTCATACAACTGTGAACCTTCAATGTCACACTTGATTTTGTGACACTGTCTTTAATGGTCATGTTGCAACATAACAGCTGCCAAGAGAGCTAATCTGCATAATTATTATAGTATAACGACAGGTCGAATATACACTTTTCACCCGAATGAAACAAAACATTTATTGCTATAATTATATAATTATCTTGATTTTTACCATTGAAGAAACGATGCCCTGCTCCTCTGTCGAAATACATGCACACATCTGTTATGACGCACATTACCTACTTAATTATTTTGTGTTGTTAAATAATGCCTTATAGAGATTGACAACAAAACAAAATGTGCTTTAAATATGTATAGACGGGTATAAGCGTCCATCGTCTTATTTCCTCTTTTATAACGTTATGTTCTACATAATATTAGCAAAATGGAGTAATTGACATGTATATATATTTACATATATACATGTATTTCAAATAAGTGTAAAAATCCGTCCGAAAAGCGCATTGGGTTGAGCATCGAATTTGTAATCCATAGGTTGTCAGTTCGATCAACGGATTGGGCCACGTGTTTCTTTTGCAATTAATCTTAAACATTCAACGTTAGTCTAAAATGGGAATTTGCCTCCACCACTGATTTAGAGGGATATGGGTTTAGCAGTCGGTTTTAGAGAAATTGGTAAATTGCGGTAAGTTATCCATTAAAATGCTCTTGAATAATAATAATAATAATAATAATAATAATAATAATAATAATAATAATAATAATAATAATAATAATAAATAAATAAATAAAGAGATAAAAAATATAACGACACGGAGATGACGTACGGGATAGACACTTCCGGGCATCTGCTGTTGTAGGTTTATAATACGGAAAATGGGTAGGCTCTGGACCAACGAAAAAAAATCAACAACAACAAAAAAACAAATGGATGTAGATGAAAATTACAGACTCGATTTTATATACCCCTCTAACACTGGCATTCGATATTTTATCCTCAACACTAAAAATGTTGGAATCACTGATTCCTAAGGACAAGAACAATGGCAGAATACTGGGATTAAGTACGGGATAACTCAGCACCTGGACCTCGTAAGCAACAAAAAATCAAGCATATAGTAGACAATTATTGTAGAAGTCTATAACTGAATATTAATCATACAAATTAAGTAAGTAATCTACAAAATTTAAAACATAAAAGAGTGAAAGGATTTGAAAGGTTTACTAAGACCGGAATTTTTAACGCAATGCTTTTTAGCAAGAAACAATTTAAGGCAGTCTTATTGATGTTTTGTTTTGGCGGATTTAGGTTATTTAATGCATTCAAATAATTTTGATTGCAACTCACTTAGTATAAAGTTTTTTGAACCCAGCAATCAAATAGATCTGAATAATATATTACTTCCATGTATCATGTGTATTGTTTATCTACAAAAATATTTGCACACAGCAGAAATAAATTTAAAAAAGCTTGTATTCTCTAATGTTTAGGTGATAAAGCACTTTTTTATCTGGCTTTATAATCATAACTGGGTTTTAAAGATTCCCTTGACGATTGCATTTAATGATTTACAGAGGGTTTTGGGAAATTTGATATAAACGATATAAAAATTCCCAATAGCATTTATCATTAAAGAAGAACTGTCTTTTATCCAATACGGTAGCAGATGCATTTGTATTTGAGCAAACAGTGCATTTTTTATACCATTATTTCTAAATCGAGCATTTTCATGGAATAACATGATAAGTTTGCAGGTGTAGTATGTAAAATTGTTTGGTTATTTTTTATAAAATCGTGTTCCTGAGATCTTTATAACCATTATATTTTACTAAATATCTTCATTAAATATAGTATATATCTAGTTATTATGGTTAATTTCAAAATAGATGTTTTTATGTAATATCAATCACAATCTGGTAAAAGTTGATGCCCCTCCTAATATGAATAGCACGATTATTTTTTGTTTGCTTTTACTGTTTTTTTATGCCGATAGTAACACATTTTTGGTCACAATTTGGTGATGGATCAACTCAACTGCTTTTCTGAATAGATAACCAAACAAATTCTCCGTAAGTAACTGACAACTTATCCCATATGATTTCTGAATCATCAATGACAGACAAATGACATTAGACTCATGATCCGGGAGCAAATGTCACGGCGAAATAACGCCTCGACTGAGGATAGAACCATCGACCCCTTGATTGCTTAGCCGATCATCTTCCTATAACAGAGCGGGCGAACTAAATAAATGGTTGATAATATAATAACATATTTTAAATTACTATTTAGTCAATTTTGTAGAAATATCATGTATGTTTGTACATTTATGAATTTGGTTAATAAAACATCAGGTGATTGTAAAAAAATGTCCATATATATAATCAGTTCAATAAAAACAAACGCTTTTCTTAAGCTTTCGACGTTTAGTCTTCTTCAGAAAAAATGTCCATCATTTTAAAATGTGAATTTAAAGTTCATAAAATACTAATGAAGTCTAAAGTGAACTTTATATTTTATAGTTATTGCTACATTGTTTTTATTTAAAAAAAGGCAAACAAAATTGAACTATGTACGAGTATGAGTCATTTTGTCAAAATAAAACCAGAAAAATTTTTTAAGAAAATTATTAAATCTAAAAATATAAATCAAGTCGTTTATATGACAAAAATCTTAATTTAGGGTTACATTCCCTGATTCCCTGTTGTATGAAACTAAATAAAGGAATAACTAGAACGAAAAGATCGAGGACATTTAACTTAAAATTTTACAACTTAAAATCCGTTCTTGAAAGCACACACGTTCATAAAAAGTGAAACTGAATGACAGAAATTATTTGTACATTGATAACTGTCCGTTTCTTAGAAAGTGCAATAACCAAGATAAGCGACGATGTGTAAACGCCATATTTTCGGCATAGGAATTTAAGACGTTAATACTTGGTTGCTGTCCACCATTTTACGATAATGGCCCTCGAATCCATACGGTTCTTCAGGCCCTCTGGTCATTATGTACATCTTCGGGCCATTTTCGCATAATGGCGAGCAGCAACCGAGTATTAACCTCTAATTCATGCGGCCGAATATCTATCATATGCACTTTGTTGTTCTGTCTTTTTCTTATAATATGAAATTTGTGAATATAACTTGAAATTACAGAGCAATTTATTGTAGTAACTTCTACGTACAGTTTTAAAATGTTTAACTTAGGACAGTGTATACTTAAATATTTGATTGCTAATGATTTCTCGTGTCATTTGTCACCTTATGTCAAATGTATATTATGGCTAAAAGCATTGTAATGCTTAATTGCTAAATAAATGTTGTTGTTGTTGTTGTTGTATACTTATATAAATGAGCGATAAATTATGTAAGCAAACGGCCTTCAGGTTTAATTAGTATGTCTGAAATGTTGTTTTGTATTGACAAACGATACCTGTTTCCAATTTTTATATTACCTTAAGTAACCCTTGATAACATATTGTTAGCATTATCTGATTATAAACTGACAGATTAATCCCTAATAATATTATATTTCATAAAACTAAGATAGTTCTCGATTCATATAAACAATGGATTAATGGTTTCAGCCGATCCTTTATTAGATATCAAAGGTCATAGTTCTATTCAAACGATGATTAATTTATTGCGTTTGTGAAACAAACAATCTGTTTATGAATTGCATTTTACGCCAGAGACTGTTACAAATTATAATTTAATAACCATTAGATCTTTTGAGATTTCTACCTGCCGAATGTCTAAATTGTTCACTTGACAATATCAATTCAACAAACTGAAAAGTATGTAAATCATATTATTTAGTCCGATATTTTACACGTAAACTCATTATATTGAACAGAAAATAGAATAAATTCATTTATATATATTTCTTTGTACTTTTTCCCTCAGGTGATACAATTATGAAAACTTTGGTTGACCTAGCTAGAAGTTTTTGAACCCTATTAATTATTTCATCTAATCTTAAAAATATAATGCTGCCATGTATGAAGTGTATTGTTTATTGTTCATTTTGATATACAAACAATTATATATCACATTACATAAGTTTGTTAAATAAAAATCGGTAGAACTTTATATCAAACATTTGAAATGTGAATTTAAGGTCCATAAAACGCTGATAAAGTCTAAATACTAGTAAATATTTTAAATTATTTGCAATATTCATCAACAATATCTTTAACAAAGGAACACACTTGTGCCTGAAGAGTTGCTTTTAAGGATCGGGGCATCAGAATTGCAGCCACCGTTTATGCCTGTGTAATCGTAAGATGCGACTTAATGGGTTCAAATGATTTGAGTCCAGCAGGTTAGGTGGTTTTGAACCCTGATGTTACTTTATGCTTATAACACCAAGGGTTTGTCAAAACCATCTTTCTTGTTTCGACATCATATGACGTGCTTTGTGTGGCACGCTATAAAACCAAACAAAACAAACAATCAAACAACAAAAGAAAACAACTGAGTACAAGCGTTTAATTGATATATAACCAAAGCGTACATTTTTTACATAAAAGTGTTTTTCTGGTCACTTATGGCACCTTGCTGATGACTATTATATTCATTTAATACATTTATTTTCTAATATTGATTTAAAATAAGTCAACATAACATACGTTTATTTTAACAAGTTGTAAATATGTTCTGGTTAGAGGCTGTAATGGCAGTAGAACCAATCCCTTTTATTTCATTTGAGTCAAATTGTGTTCCTTCAGCCTTGTTCCTATTTTCGCTATTTGTATGTCTAATAATTAGATAAACACACAGATTTAGACATCCGCCAATGTTGGAAAAATCTGTGACGATATGAAACAATACTAATGGTCTTTCGTCACCTATTAGGTACCATATTCCAAATATACCTAGAGGTCCCCATTGAATAAAAAAGGCAGCGACAAACATGGACATGTTTTTCGCAGCACGTTTAGATTTCCTACTGGCATGTTTCGTCTTCAGACCAAGTTGAAGTGAATTGGTTTCAACCTTTATTCGGTACAATGTGATCGCATACATAACAATGTTTACTATAAGTACAAGAAGTAGAGGTACCGTGGTAAACGCTATGTTTGCTACATCAGCTTTTACGCCGTCGAAGAAACAACTGAAAATATGAAAAAATATCATCATTTAGTTAATTTAAAGAAATTATAATATTGACAAAAATCATAAAATGTTTTTAGTCCCCTACCGGTTTAACCGGAGGGGACTTTAGGTTTACCCTCCGTCCGTCTGTCCGTCTGTCTGTCTGTCCATCTGTCCGTCTGTCTGTCTGTCTGTCAGTCCGTCAGTCCGTCCGTCCGTCCACAAAACTGGATCCCGCGATAACGCAAAAAGTACTGAAAATATTTGTATGAAACTTGATATATGGATAGATGGCAGTATGGAGATTATGCACGTCTTTTTCTTTTCTTCCTATGTTGAAAATTCTGGTTGCTATGGCAACAAATAGTCTGAAAATATTGCAAATTTAACACATAAACTGGATCCAGTGATAACTCAAAAAGTACTGAAAATATTTTTATGAAACTTAAAATATGGGTCGATGGCAGTCTGCAGATTATGCACAACTTTTTCTTTTCTTCCTATGTTGAAAATTCTGGTTGCTTATAATGGCAACAAATAGCCTGGATTTCAAGATTTCTGATTTAAATTTTTCAGCTTTTTCACTATAAGTTCTTTATTTCTTAAGGTGTTTACTTCAAACTTTAAATATAAGTTTCTGGTCATCAACCACATCATATGTGACAAGGTTTACAACTCTAGCACAAAAATTATCAGTATTACCTCCCTTGAACTTAGAATTTTTATGAAAAAAAATGTTTTTTTTTTAAATAACTTCTTTATTTCCTAATGTTTCTACTTCAAACTTCATATATATGTTTCTTATTATCACTCAACATTTTTGAGAAGGTTAAATACTCTAGCAAGACTATTTCCAGAATTATGTCCCCCTTGAACTTAGATTATTTTCGAGAAATTGGTATTTTTTACTCCAACTTCTTCATTCCTTATAGGATTTACTTTAAAATCCCACATCGTAATAATATGACAAGGTTGTATAAACATAATTTTCTTACTAGGCAGGGAAACTTAACACATTACTGTGAAATAGACAAACTTAGAACTCAAAAGATTTAAGTTCATTCAGGTCTTTCATTCACTGGTAAAATTGAAATCAGAATGTTGCTGGGGTTCTAACCGGTAGGGGACTTATGAATTGCTTGCATTACTATGATAATTGCTTGTTTATTTTGTCTTGCTGTGCGAAAAGAGTTTTTCTTCGTGTTCTTCTTTTGTACGAGTGTTTTCTTTCTGTACAAAAGTAGAAATTCGTAAAACATGGGACATGTTGAATGTAATGATTGAAAAACCAATCATGATATATCAAGACATTTAAGGAACTTTTGATTCTTACTTTTGGAAGTCAAAGACAGACATACGAGCTTGATATAGAATCAGTACCTGAATGATTAATACATACGTCTCTTGCCTTTTTTTCAACATATTTATTAAATGTGTCAAATGAATAAGGTAGGATGCATAAGTAAAGTACACGATAAATGTACAACGTTTTAGTTCACAGTTTTAACTTTTCTAGTTCTTGAAATAAACACTAAATGATCTGTAATCAGCTTAAGAATGCTTACACAGAGATGTTTAATGACTTTTCATAAGTATTTATATGGTGTACAAACTTTTTTATGAACTGAACTTACTAAAAACAATGCTCGTGGTTTTCTATTATCAAACTATCAACTAAATCTACTGATGCGTAATAACTTTTAAAAATGTTCATAAAGTTCCATAATCAAAGCAGATAAAACAGTATATGTATTTAGATAATGATTTATAGCAAAGTATAATAAAAATCAGAAAAGTCTTACGATGATCCATTTGGTCCAAGTTGTCCCGTAACAGCAACTACAGTGGAAGCAACAAAGGGAAGACCAAACGTCCATACCAAGAGTCTCCAGTCGTTTTTACCAAAATTCAAATTCTTTCGAAAAACCATAAGCATAAACGCATTTATAGCGACAACATTCACCATCAAAATCTGAGCAGCAACAAATTCTGCCAGCATGAAGCCATAAAATTCGCAAAGTTCAATGGGTCTAACATGGTCCTGTGTGAGTGCATACTGCATGTGATCCATGCTATGAAATGTGTTGAACCCACCATCACAAATCGCCAAGTACACAACAAATCGTTCACTCTTTGTCCAAGAAAAGAATGTTTTATAGTCCTTTTGCCGAAATGACATGATAATTGCAATGAAAACACAAGTTAAACTACATAAAATACAGAACAATGCTGGAACATGCAGATAGTAAAATGTTCCCGTCGCCAAACCATACACAGGCAAGTCATATCCGTCTCTCATCTTAGCAAAATCATCCGACGAATTTGTTAAGTTGTCCATGTTTCATCCAAATGATGACGAAATGGTTTCTTTTTTAAATGTACATACTATAAACTGTAACAACATATTTATTCATAACAATTATTCCTTTGTGCTATACAATCTGATGCCAAAATGCAATTCCAAAATTATTTGACCAGCTGTAAATGCGTGCCAAATGTGGAATTAAATATGATGTTGATGAAATGCGAATCGCTTTTATCCACACAGACCGCGTCATGTCTAATTCCCATGTATTAATCATATGGCCAGTCCACTATATACCTTAATTGATGGATGATAAATAATTTATTGTTAAGAATTAACCCATAGGTCATTTTGCTATAACTTCATAACTCCAAGTGCAAATGCATTTAACTTGACAATTAATTTGAATGTTTGGTTCTATGATATTAATTTTGTGTCAATAACATTTCCTGATTGCTCGTAGATTAGAGTTTTCCCAAATGAATATACATCGGCCGTATTGAAACAGAATTATTTCAGACAATACCGGATTGAGTCGGCTCCTATTTTCTCTTTAGAAAGGATGTTGTGGACAGTATTGCACTGTCGTTGATATATTTCAGTTAACTTTTGTTTCTATAGGTCGTTAAAGCAAGCTGTTGTGTTTACATTTCATTTAGACCTAATATATAGTGTAAGCAAATGTCCCTTAAGGCACAATAAGTATGAAAATATTTTACAATAACAAGCTCTATACTCGTATGGTAGCGATAAAACAGCAATTGTTAATTTTTTACATACTTTGTGTGCATTGTTTTTAAAGTTTGTTTAACCATAACACCAATGACAGAATTAGCCATTAAATCACCAGTTGCAATCCAATTGAAGTCCTGTTACATATTATTTGATACCGGTAAATGTTGCTTTCTTTTCGTCACAACTTGAAATTTTACTGACAGCAAGTAAAAGAAGCGATGTGCATCGTTATTTTGTTAGTATAACGTTAACAAATTAAGTGACATTCAACAATTCAATATAAATTCTTCCGACACAGTTATATTCTTTGACAAAAGAAGCATTTACTGACGTCACAAATATATTTTCTTAATCTATAATAATAATTCTTCATAATGCATTTTAATCAATCTAAGATGTGCTACTATAATGATATTTCTGTTGTTTATACAATTTTATTTTTATTTCAGTGGGTTGTTAAAACTATCTGTTGTGATATAATTACATTTATAAGATTGTAAGCATTTGAATATTTAATAACTGTTGTTGTACCTAAAATATTTTGGTTCATAGACCATTTTTGTGGAGGCAATCTGTGATGTAAATGTTCTAAAGGTCATTGATGCAATGGTGCAGACAATCAAACAGACATAATTATTTCAGAAATCTCAAATGATATAATGTTTTTTATAACTACGTGTAACAGTCTCTGATGTGAAAAACAATTCATTAACAGAATATTTGTTTCATAAACGTATCATATTTATCATCGGCTGAATATACAATGTACAATGTACAATGGATTTTTGATATCGAATAAAAGGTTTGGTGAACCATTCATCCATATTATAATGTTATATAATATAGATGGATAACTTCCATAAAACTGTCACCTGAACAATTAATTTATATGTTTATATGATATGAAGAATGATATTATTAGAACAAATATCGAGCAATTAATTATATATGGAATTTTACATTAAACACTTACATTGACAATTTTAGTTTGTCGTAGTAGAAGAACTAAAAGCTAAAGGTTCGTACGAAATCAAATCATTAACGGAAATTGTTTTGACTGCCAAAAGCAGGTGGCACTGCTGTTACAGGTATTTGAAAATAAATTAGGACCAAATGAGCCATAGTATGGAGACTTTTTCTTTAATGTTATTTTTTGTTGAGGATTTTCTTATATATAACTGTTTCAAAATAAAATCAACTAACAATATTATAACATCAAATTTGGTTTCATATTGGCATACTGTAAGAAATAACCAACACTCATCTAAAATTGTTGACCAAAGTAACGAATAATTTCAAAATGTTCTTTGAAATCGATTTGAATAAAATACGTACATGTATGTCTTTAGGTATTTAACCAGTTTTTGGAAATTAAAGTTATTTTTACAAAGGCAAAGAAGGAAAGTTTTAGAAACTAGAAGTAAGAATTTTCTTTAACTTAAAAATCATCTTCACGATATGCAGTGAATTCCAGATGATAAGGGGGGGGGGGTAATCAATTAAATATACCATCCCTTGTCTCCCTTTGACTAACAGCGCTTTAGAGTGACTTACTCTTAAATTTTCGCATACGCCAAACTTGATAAGACTTCAAAGACATTTATTCACAAAAACTAACCTCACTACTAGTATTTGAAAACAATGTTGTTCTTAAGTGCGTTGATATTTTCTCATACGTAATTATGTTCAGGGAACTGCTATTTTAATTGATACTTGAACCTACATTATTTTGTTGAATTATCTATTTCGGTATATTTTTCATCAGACGTTGAAGTCATTGAATACATGCAGAACAGTTTTTCTGTTTGATGTACCTCGCTTCATTAATCACATCAAATTGAGTTTACATACATTGAGTAGATTTATATTAAATATATTTATTTTATGCTTTTCAGTGGATTACTGATTTATCCGTGAAAATTATATTTGGTAATTTCACAGTGAAAATTATCAAAATATAATTTCACTCTTTTCAATGACGAAACTACTTTTTTAAGATTTTCCCCATGTGGTACCTCAATTTTATTTTTGCTGACAATTCTGACAATGTCAGGCTGTTTAAAGAAAAAGCAAAATTGAAATTGATAAATAACTTAAATGTCAAAAGTAATAAAAAGAAGAAAACTTACTTCTATTCATTCAAATTCATGAAATTCCAATCACCAAATTTCGTTTTTTTGTTTCATTTTGACAGTCAAAAATACATTCCTTCCCCATGCAAAACTGCTCTTGATGACATTTGGGCATATTAAAGTATCCTACGAGCAATAACTGCCGTATGCTTTATGAAAAATTGAAAGCATTGACAGCCATAACTCGAAGAATAAGTTAAATCAACCCAGCGTTCTAGAGCAGGTTTCCAAGTTTTCCATTTTCCTAGCTCCTTTTCTGAATGTTTTCATATCTGTCAACACTTATTTTTTGTCTGTTACAATCCTCAAATAAGTTTTCTTTCTTTTAAAAATGTGTATGACTAACAAATCCAAATTATTTCCCTCTGAATCTTACACAATTATTTTCCTCCCTTGAAATACACAACTTTAAAAAATGGCTGCCGCTTACAATTTACAAAGCCAGGTCTAATATAAATTCGCACTAAGTAACAGAAATATGGATGGATGGTTGGACTTTTTCTCCTTTGTTTTTATTATCAAAACAAGCGATCATTCATATTTTTTAATAAAATTAATAAATATCGCCGTCATTTAATGTTGATTGGCGGACTTATTTTTCAGCTCAAGACTTCTTTTTTTTAATGAGAAATTCCGAATAAATGGGGCTCTCAATGGGGGAAACAGTTTTAATATTAACGTTAAAATTATGGAAATTTCGTTTTAACTTGTTTTTAAGCATAAAATAAAAAGAAAATTTGTCTGTTTGTTGTGTAAGATGTAATTTTATTTCATCTCGTGAACTTTAAAAACAGTATTCTCACTCGTGGCTTCGCCACTCGTGAGAATACTGTTTTTAAAGCCCACTCGATGAAATAAAATTTCATCTTACAAACAAACAAACAAATATCCTCTATATATATAAAAAAAATATCAAAAAATAAAACAAAAAACAACAAACAATAGATGAAAATTAACAATTGAAATGACTGATGTATAACATCTTGATGATTTACATACTGAGTAGTATATATTATCTATAATTTTTATTCTTTGAAAAGGCATTTATTGACAACTTAAATGTCGGTTGTTTAGAAAGGCTTAACAGCTTTCGGCTTAAAGTAGATCGTTTTATGAAGTATGCTTTTGTGGGATATTTCCGCCAAAAGTTAAACACTTTATTATCAGTTACTGATGCAAAAGTAATTGTTTGGATTTAAAAAAAAGAATACTTCAAAAATGTTTGTATGAAATAAAAATGACAATAAATTGCCTTAAAGCGAGTTGCGAATGAACCAAGTCATTGCTAATCGGATAATACTCTACTTTAATTAGCGTTCCGGGACATTTTATTCTGTTTATGTACATTATTCTTGTGTGATCGGGAATCAACCGTATAATAATGGAACCAATATAATTTTACTGTATAAATGTTATAAAAAAATAGTTCATAAGCTATAGATTAATACCATTTAATTGTCTTAATAAATTACAAAACTTTCTAATTCGGAAGATAAATTAAATACTTTATTGACTGAATGATTGATTGAATGTTAAATATTGATAGAAATATGCCAACCAGTTAGTTAGTTTCTGTAATTTAGTAAAATAGAAAATTATTGTTATAATTAACTGTTTATAAAAATATGCTACAGGAATATTCAAGATAAAATACATCTTAAAATATATCTTATCCGCTGTCGGGTTTTGGAACTTGTCTATCAACAAAACACACACACTTTGACAAGTTGACAATCTAATATCTCAATATCTGCTTACAACCGAGCCTTAGAAGTTATAGAAATAATTGTTCAATTGCTTTCGGAATTTAATTTCTAAGGAAAGTCCCTAAGATTTCTTTTTAAGAGAACAGAACGTGCCTGGAACTTGCATATCTCTACACGCAATGTTTGACCTTGAGCAATTTATCTATATATATACAACAAACAAAAACGTCAATACTATAAAATTGTGATTTACATAAAGGTCAGTAAATTATGATATTCAATTTGGTATTCGGTATGAATCAGATGTTTTTTTGGTAGTTAATAATTCCTATAGCTAAAATGGGAAGAAGAAGGAAAACAAATCTATTTTCAACATAAAACATTCTATTCCAAAATGAACTGCAATATCATTGTATCGATTGATTGTTATTCTGTGATGTTTTATCATAAACAAAATTGAAGACTTTACAACAAAAATTCAA